TAGTTTAATGTTGTTGATGAAAGTTGTGACTAGATCATCTACTATGTGTTTGGTTGTTTATCATGTTCATGTGCAACAGGTTTATCATTTCTCTAATCATGGTACTTTACAACCATCTCACCATGAATCCACAAAATAAAGGTTTGTTGAGTGTTTCAGAAAATTATCAAGATTGTGTTGCTTGTATCATTAACATGTTTCATTTTTAGATGTTGTCAACATCTTTGAAGCATCCCAGGTTGATTGGTTGGATGACACTCAGCTTTATAACATGTTCCATTTTTATACTCATTAGGATGAGCTTCATCATTCTGATGAATTTCCACAACCATATGAAACCAGTCTATACACAAAGAGATTACAAGTTGCTTTAGATATTTCCAACATCTGTCCAGTTGTTGGAGAAATGGAAACAAAAGAGTACATCCATACTTAAGAGTTCCAGCGACCAGCATAAGGTGGAGGCCTCAATCTCCTCATGGTTTCTTCGCTTCTATAAGTTTCATTCTTCTTCTGATTATTGACATAATGTTATGCGACTTTCATGTGTTTGATCTTTGATTATGTTTTTTTATCTTTAAAAAACTTTGCTAAAGATAGATGTGTGTATGAGATGAGGAGTCTTCTGTATGTTGTTTTTCTTCCGATTTAGGATCATTCGGTGTTCGTTTCTACACAATACTATGTAATAAAGAAAGAAAGAAGAATATTTTTAAAATCCTAAAAGTTTTAGAAAAAATTCGAAAAACTAGTTGAAGTGCAAATCTATGTAATATGAAAGTTTCTGCTGCTTACACTTTCGCATACATGTTTCCAATTTTGTACAGGTTATGCGCATATATATGGAAAAGAAACTATTTGTTGAATTGCAAGGTCGAGTTTGTTTATAGCTTGATTTTAACCAAACCAAATTCGGTGAAACAGCGATTTGACCCTTGATGTGGAAGCCAAATCCGCATACTCTAAGAAAACCTGCAAGAACAATAATATATATCATTAGAAGTTGTATTTGATTGTATATGAAGAATAAATAGTGTTGGGGAAAGAGGTGAATCCGCATACTCAATACTATTGTCGTTTCAAGTTGAGTATTCTACCACAAGGATTCCCAACAGAACCCAAGCTTCGTATAAAAAATTACAACGAGAGTATTATTTAACACTTTCAGACTCAAATTATATTATAATTATATTATACACACATGTGAATATGATACAAGAGTACAAACATAATCATGATGTTTCCTAATACAATTTAACTTATGCATACAATATGCTTCACAAACATTTAAATCTAGACCTAACATATTGATATTTCATCAATTTCCTTGATTAAGCAAAGAGAACTTGAGAATTCGACGGAGTTATATTTACATAACGCTCCGGTGAATCCACCACCTCCCATCTCACTCCAAACTTATTTTCCGACTTCCAAATATTCCCAACCACGAGATGAAGATTCCGACCAACCACATATACTATGTTCCCATAATAGTTAACTGAAAACGGTCTACAAATCTGTTCAAGCAATTCCGGTCCGTTAATCGTCTCCCACGAATCCGTAACCAAATCATAAACCTTCATCTTCATTCTCTCTAATTCCGACACTAGAAACAACCAAGGTCCATCCTTCCTTTAACCCCATCGCCATTAATTCCCATTGATCCGTCCTCGGGTCATAAACTTGACCTCACGGAGATACAAAAAATGGCCATAACCATCTTTCTGTTACCAATAACTTCCCGTTTAAAACCGCTGCGTCATAAGACAACATATGCGTGACCATATTCGAAACATGCCGCTATTTCCCATCCAAAGGGTTCAAAACCTCCGCGGAATCAAGCTCAAATAAATCCGCAGCGTTTCCACCCGCTGCATATATCATCCTGTCAATCACACCGCTAGCGAAAAATGACCTCGCAGTTATCATTTTATTCATAACAGTCCAATGATTCCTCACCATATCATACTTCAACACCACATCAAGAGGGCAATCAGAATCCGAAACTATTCCACCGCATACAAACATAGTACCTTCCCGAGGCATCGAAACCGATCTAAAACCATGAGGACACACTTTGTCTCTACAAGGCATCGCGGGATCTCATGCCAAGTGAGATTCCTCAAATCCAAAACCTTGCAATGTATCTTACCTGTACATCTACTAAACTCTACAACAAACATCCACGATTCTTTAAACCCGAACGCCTTACGCCTAGCGAAAAACGTCTCTTTAGTAGAAAACAAGAGATGTCATCTCTTGCAAACGGATCTACTCGAAGAATGGATTTCGACAGGAACACGTAAAAGGCAGTTAAGTGCAACATCATCTGGTAAACCAGGAATCAATGTTCTCCGGTAAGAGACAATTCTAATTCCGATGATCTATAATCAAACAATGGCGAGTGAATTGATGTAGCTACTCTAAATTTAGGAGATAATCTCATGTGAGAATCACCAAGCTTGTGTACAGCTGCTCTTTGTGATGAAAGCCAAACTCTTTGCATCTTCTTCTTCCTCTTTCTCTTCCTCTTTGTGATTAAACACTCATTTGCTTCTATTTAAGAGTGATGACCAATCAAAGTTTCCAACTTTTGGCTTCCTCTACACTTGTTCAACCTGAAATGTTGAAAATTGAAACTTGAGAATCTGTAATAGAAATCGATTGAGATAAAATCCCAATTCGAGTTCATTCGAATAAACCCTAGAAGGTAAAGGGGAAAAGAAGAGGGCAAAGATTGGAGAAAGAAACAGAGAGAAGCAAGAATTGAGTGATTAGAAGCTATAAAATTATTGGAATAAACGAAAAAGTAGATATTTCAGCTTCTTACAGAACAGGGTAGCTCATTGGAATAAACGAAAAGTAACTAAACCATAAAATAACATAGTTAGCTCAAAC